CGACAGCCAAGAAACCTTAAGGATTTAGAGAGGATCTGTAAAGAGGAGTGGATAAAAATCCCTCCTGAGATGTGTGCAAACCTGGTGACCAACTACAAGAAACGTCTTACCTCTGTGCTTGCCAACAAGGGTTTCTGCACAAAGTACTAAGTCATGTTTTGCTTGGGGATCAAATACTTATTTCACTCACTGAAATGCAAATCAATCTCTAACCTTTATATAATGTGTTTTTTCTTGATTTTTTGGTTGGTATTCTGTCTCTATACGTTAAAATAAACCGACCATAAAAATTACAGACCCTTCATTTTTTTTGTAAGTGGGCAAACTTACAAAATCAGCAGGGGATCAAATAAATATTTTCCCCACTGTATCCACGTAGGGAGGGAGTAAATTTTTATTTTTGGTGGACCCGTCTCTTTAAATGGTGCATCTAGACCATTTTAAAGAATCTAACTAGCGATTTGGGATAATAATTGTGAACTGGAGTTTCCAAGATTTTTAAAAAAAAATTTTTTTGTAATGTTTTAACATGATCTTTTTTTCTGTCTGGAAATGTTCCTAATACGTGAAAGGTTTCATCAGCCCAAGGCTGATTTCCTGAGGAACTCCTTTGAGGAAGAAGGAGTGGGTTCACAAACCCAAGTTTATTTATGAGCGTTGAGCTGTTTTTCCATTTAGTTTTTGGGTGAGTGTCTCTCCAGTCCTCAGTTCAATAATATAAGCATGAATAAGTTTAAGAAGGAAAAGAAAATTAATGTGGTATGTTTATAATAGCCTATATCAAGTTTTCACTTTAACAGTTAGCAGTACTTCCAGTCTGAAATGAGGAAGTTTACAGTAGGGAATTATTGCAGTCACTAGCTGGTCATGTGAATGTCATGTTACACAACAGTTTGTTCCTGTTCCAAACTCATTATTCAGCATGCTCAAGTTTTCAAGCACGTGATTTTATATGGAATCGGATTAAAGTATGACACCTTGGCATAAGAGAACCTAGGTGTTCAGTTTTATGTTTTTTATTTGTTTGTTTTTAAAAAGTGTTCCTATTATGCAGTAATATGTTAATAATGTTTTTCCCTATTGGGGATGTAAATCAGTCATTCCTGAAGAGTTTTAGATTTTTAATTTCCCTCTCCCGTTTAATATAATCAAATCATTAATAGATTTGTTCCTGTGGTAGTGTACTGTCAGCTCTGTCTGCTCCCATTGTGTCCCGTCATGAAATATACGGTCTCCCTCCCTCTGTCACCTGGTTTATGAATTAGTGATGGTGGTAATAAGTGATGGGCAGGTGGCATGTGCTTTCTCTATCATTGTTGGTGGGCTCATGTGCATATGCAATATTAATTCAGAACTAAATGGAGATCTCAGTGACCCTTTACCTTTATTAACAGAAAAGCTCTGTAAACCAGCTGCAAAAAAAAAACTAGAGACTTTTTTAAAAAGACATCAGCAGTTCCTTGGTGCAGATGTCCAATTAAAACAATTGTATGTTAAAGGGCTTATGTGCATGCAAATGACAGTTAAACATAAAATAAACACATTTTTGTCCAGTGTCATCAAACGCAAATATTGAGTGCATTGATAATAAGAAATGTTTCTTGAGCAGCAAATCAGCATATTAGAATGATTTCTGAAGGATCATGTGACACTGAAGACTGGAGTAAAGGCTGAAGATTCAACTTTGCCATCACAAAAAAATTGCATTTTAAAAATATTAAAATAGATATTTATTTTAAGTTGTAATAATATTTCACAATTTTATTGTTTTGACGGTAACACAGATGCAGCCCTGGAGAGCATAGAGAGACTTCTTTCAAAAGCATTAAAAAAATCGAACTGACCGCATCTTAATTTTTCACCCCTTTAACATGACACACTTTTTTGCGTCTCTCCTGCAGTAACAGGGTGAGCGTGGAGGGAGCGACGCACAAGCAGGTGGTGGATCTGATCAGGGCTGGAGAGAGGGAGCTGGTGTTGACCGTACTCTCTGTGCCGGCACAGGAAACGGACGGACTTGAAGGTGGCGAGGAAAGCGCAGTGCAGCCCAATTACGACTACTGCGACAAGCAGGCCATCCCCATTTCAATCCCCACATACAAACATGTGGAACAGCACTCAGAGAAGTTTGTGGTGAGTCGTGTAGAAAGAATGAAAGCTTTTTGCTTTTTGGCTGTTGTTTAGTGCTGATAATCTTTGTGGTCTTGCTCCTCCTGTCTTAGGTGTATAACGTGTACATGTCGGGCAGACAGCTGTGCTCGAAGCGTTACAGGGAGTTCGCAATACTTCATCAGAACCTGAAGAGAGAGTTTTCCAACTACAATTTCTCAAAGCTGCCAGGGAAATGGCCCTTTTCTCTGTCTGAACAGCAGCTGGACGCTCGCAGGAGGGGATTGGAGGAATACCTGGAGAGAGGTGAGACAGAGGACAGAGAGTGGAGGAAGTAAAATGTGTCCTTTAATTCTTATGCATTATTTTTTGATTACAATAGGGTTGGGAAAAAATGCAGGTCTTGTTTGCAATGTGTCCTTGTCCCATTCACCCTCTTATTGCCACCAATAATTTAATTTCACTCCCACCAACTTTCTACTCTTAATTATATGTCTGTTGAATAAAATGCCATTTAATTTAGTGCACTAAAATAATTTTAAAAAATATATATATATTGTCCTAATTTTTCACCCAATAAATATTATATTGAAAACAAATTAATTCGAAACTGGATATGGGTTTTAATAAAACAAAATAAATAATAATTTTACAAGTTATTTTTTTTAGTTTTTTAAGTTTATAAGTTAATTTAACAATACTTTTTTTTTTAAATTTTGATTACACAATTTATTTCTATTACAAATGATTTATATTGCTTTGAGGATGTTTTTGTTTTGTCATCTTTCCACTAAGCCACAATGGAAGTGGTTTTGCACGCTTGTTTACAGAGACTTTGTGATAGATGCACGAGCTATGAAATGCACGAGCTATATAAATATATATCCTGTCTTTCTCTCTGTCTGTCGACATGTTTCAGTGTGTTCAGTGCGGGTCTTAGGTGAGAGTGACATTATGCAAGAATTCCTATCTGAATCGAACGAGGTAAGTACAGTATGTGTGTGCAAACACAAATAGTTTTGCCCAACAACACCGTTTCATCGCGTGTCTTGTGTTAAAGAACCACAACGGCATAAGTGATGTCGAGCTACGAATAGCACTGCCTGATAAAACCACAGCCTCAGTAAGAGTCAGAAAGAATAGCACCACTGACCAGGTCTACCAGGTAAAATATCATACACCTCTGTCTGACTATTCAAATATCAAATGACCTCAACAGAAGCTAATCCTAGTCATAAATCATAATTTTTCCCTCTTTTTCAGGCGCTTGTCATAAAGGTTGGGATGGACAGCATCATGGCCAGTTACTTTGCACTCTTTGAAGTTATTAACCACTTGTTTGGTGAGGAATTGCTCCATTTTCCTTCAAGCGTTTATGTTTTGAATCAGTTTCTGACTCTTAGGTTAAACCTTTAGGTTTTCACTGTGGAAATCGTTTGACCTTGTTATGAAGTCAAAAGTAATTGTATTTATGATTCTTATTAAGAGCAATTAAACTGCCACTTTGTGATACCTTCTTAATCAAACAAACAAACCTTCTGTATTTTTGACCCAGCTGGCAAGCTCAGATAAGGTGCTACCTAGCACATAAAGGACACTGGGCCTTGTTAATGAAACATGAACGGAACAAATTTATGTGTAAATCATTTGCAAAACCCTTCTTACGTAGATTTGCAGAACACTCTCAGAGAAAAAGTTACAAAGCTATCACTGGGTAACCTTTAAAAAGGTACTAACATACACAGCTACTACTAATATGTAATTTTAATGTATTTCTATCATGACAACTCTTGGAAGATTTTAGCATGGTGATGGATGACAATGTTAATGTATTTGGTCTTGGCGGAATAGATCTCCTACACTGCTGCTGCTGTTGGCTATTGCTGTGGTTGTAGATTATTGCTGCTGCTGCAAAGTAAGTACAGGCACTTGCTACGGCCAATGCATATGGCGATACAGTGCTGTGAGTATTTAAGACATACTGCTGCTGCACAAATAATAACCCGTAGCAGATCTATACAGGTGGAGCTGGGGAAGGTGGGGGGTTTTACAGGAACTGAAAGCGTGCTGCGAAATGGTCTAGTAGATGCTCACCAGCCATTTAAATGTAAAGCAGCAAGCTTATTGGCTGCGTATGCAGCATGAACCAATAAGCTTATGCCAAGTAGTTTAACGCTGTGAATGTCATCAATTTGTGTTAACGACCCATCTGCCTGTGCCATCTAGCGTTTCATGACAGAACTTGGCATTAAATATGTACCTTTGAACCACTAATATTTACCATTTAGGGGTAAATAAGGTGCAAAGATATATATATATATATATATATAGATTGAGAGAGAGAGCTTTTGAACCTTAAGGTACTGCCCAGTGACAGCTTTGTAACTTTTTTTCTGAAAGTGAAGAATGTTTTTTTTTTGTCTGTAAATAATGCACGTGGTTATGCCACATGATGGCTAAATAGTTTTAAATATCAAATATAGTCTTTTAAGCTTTAAAAATGGAGAAAATGTACCAGCAAATTATGATTAAAGTGGTCCATGTAATATTTGCACTATTCCTAGTTATACGATAGCTTTGTGTGTTGAGCTAGACTAGATCATTGAGTCAGTGCATCATTTAATGAATTAGTTTGTGAACTGGATTAGCTAATTCATTGAAAAGATCCAACTCAAAAGGCTGTTTGTTTAAATAAAAATTATTATATTTTAAAATATAATTTATTCTTGTGATGTCAAAGATTAATTTTCAGAAATATTTATTATTATTACTAATGTTGAAAACAGTTGTGCGGTTTCATATTTTTGTTGTAATACTGTAATACTACGTTTTCAGAATTCTTTGATAAATGAAAAAAATTGAATTAAAGTATTAATTTATTACTTTACAAAAAAAACTTATTGACCCCAAATTTTCAAGGATTCGAGATTTTCAGTGAATTACAAGATTTAATTTTGTTCATCATACAAAGCTGCTGTCTAATAAATTAGACTTACCATAAATCACTAAACTGTTCTGAAAATCTCTCTCTTTTTCTGTTATCAGTGCGCAAATTGGCTCCTAATGAGTTCCCGCACAAGCTCTATGTTCAGAACTACACATCTGCTGTGCCCGGGACGTGTCTCACAATGCGGAAGTGGCTCTTCAGCACACAGGAAGAGGAACTGCTGCGGGACAACCCTCTTGCCCTGCACTACTGCTTCCATCAGGTCAGTCCCAATAGCCTTAACCAGTGCTTTTTTGTCAGTTCTCTCTTTCGTTGCAAATTAAATTAATATAGTGTCTCCAGACTTTTAAAACGGTCTTTATGACGGACTCTTGTAGACTAAAACAATGAGTACAAACACATTACAATAAATTCAAAGCATAAACAGCACAAATGGACTTTGTACAGCTAGCTTCCGGTTAATGTCTCATCTAAAACCACACTTGCTCATTTACATTTTATTCAGCATATTTGTATAGCTGAAGTCATATAAGATGCCTCTAAAACAAATTCATGGTTTTCACTAGGGATGCACCGATACCGATACTGGTATCGATATCGGCTGTCTGAATATTTTTTGGTTGATTGTAATCTATTACATACCTTTCTATCAGAATTATCTAGCATTATCAAGATGAATTTGTTCTGACACAGTGTAACTCTGAGTTCTTGTCATATTTTATTACCATTTTCTAAACTATAGCGAATAAACTGTGATAATGTGAGAAATGTTGAAGGTGTCTGAATAAATTTTGGTTTGACTGTATCTATTTGATAAATGAAGTTAACCAACTAACATTATACATACCCTTTTGGTTTCTATACCCAATATTTAAAAAATTTACAAATGCAATAAAAGTATCGGTACTCGGTATCGGCAAGTACCAAAAATAAAAGTATCGGTATCGGGCGAGTACTGGAAAAGGTGGTATCGGTGCATCCCTAGTTTTCACCCAAACAGCTCGTCAGCTTAACCTCATATAATCATATCAGTCAGAGCTGTTCATCCTTTCACTGTTCATTCTGGGGGTTTTTTTCAGGCACAGGATGACGTGAAGAAGGGATTCATTAAAGCAGAGGATAAAGCGTACCAGCTGCAAAAACTAGCAGAACAGAGAAAGATGACAATGGTCTCTCCTACTATATCCATCATAAAATGCTGCATAGAAATGCTATTTATCTTTTTGTTGAAACCTGTCAATAACACGTCCAGGCCCCACTTCACCTCAAAATCAAATAAAAATGATAATAAAAATAAAACCACAAATTAAAAGCAAAAATTTTGCTGGGCAGTTTATTTTCATTTCCCTTAAAAATTCTAATTAAAGCAACAACAACAAAATTATTTCTCATTAGTGTAATGTAAAAATGCATATAATATGGCACAAAGTATTATTCAAAAATTATTTCAGTTTTTATTCATATTTTGAATTTTTTTTTTTCGTTTAAGTACTAGTAATTCTATGTTTTTGTAATTTTTAGTAGGTTTTTTTACATTTATTAATTGTGATTTTTAGGACTTCAACTTCTTTTATTTAAATAAGTTGCCAAGGCAACATTTGAATGTCATTTATAGTTTTTCATCTAATATTTTATTTCAGTTTTATTTCAATTAACAAATTATAAAAATGTATAGATATTTTTCGTTTTAGTTAACAACGCTAGGCACAATACAAACATGTTAATTGTTCTGAAAAAGTCTTCATAGTGTGTCTTCTTTTTTTTTTTCTTTGATTTTGGGGTGAATGTGACCTGGACACTTTACCTTTTTGTCACAAAGCACAATCAATTAATAACATGTAAAAAGTTTTAACAAAATAAACAATTGTGTGTACTTTTTTCAGTATCTGAGTCTTTTGCGCTCATGTGAGGGATATAACGAAGTGACGTTCCCTCACTGTGCATGTGACTCACGGAGGAAAGGTCATGTGATCACAGCCATCAGTATGAAGCATTTCAAACTGCACGCCTGCACAGAGGACGGCACTCTTGAGGTGGGCAAATGATGCTCAGAACGATCCGAAATAGTTTTTAGGCCTATAATGCTTTATTTGCCTCTATACATATGAAAGCATATCACCAAATTCTGTGAGAACATGTTTGGTTTGCTTGCCCATAGTAATACTTTATCTGTGAATCACAGAGTCAGGTGATCATGTTCGAATGGTCAGAGATGCAGAGATGGGACACAGATGAAGAGGGAATGGCCTTCTGCTTTGAATATGTGCGCGGAGAAAAGAAACCTCGCTGGGTCAAAATATTCACTCCTTATGTAAGTCACCCAAACATTAGAATTAGAGCTTCATTATTTACCTGTTGAATTATGTTTCGTAGAACATTTTGAACTGTGTTCCCTTCTCCAGTTTAACTACATGCACGAGTGCTTTGAGAGGATTTTCTGTGAGCTCAAACGGAGGAAAGAGGTATTAACTTACATTTCTGTTAGAGTTTATTTACCTTTCGTGTCATTTGTTATTAATGAGTTTATTTTTGATATGTTAAAGGTTGAAGACGAGGCCTCAGACAAAGGCAATAAGAACTGTAGTAATAATGGTAAGAAGAAAACCTTTTGCCCTCATTTTATCACACACACACACGTTAATGGGATTTTTCTGTGTGTACTCATGTGATGACCATACTCACACTGAAACCTGAAATACTGGTTCATTCTTACCACACTTACTTGAAGTATCAAGTACAGAGTCACATGTCATGCGTGTGATGCTCATTTGAACCGTCAGTGCATAAAATGAACCCTGCACCTTCTCGAAAGAGCAAATAATGGAAATGTATTCCTTTATTATGTAAAACAAAATGCAGGAAACGGATTGATTCAGCACTGTAGGCTAGCACTGATTGCAAATGTGCTTTTTATTATTGAACACTGTTTTATTCATTGAGCGAATAATAAATTGGCATATTTCAATTGTGCTTGTGCTGCAATAGAATGAATATGTGAAATTAATTATACAATAAATGTTAATGTTTTTCCGTACTACATTTATCAAAATATATATTTATATCATTATTATACATATATTTATTACATATTTATTATTCAATATTTCATAACAAAAATTACATATTTAATAATTTGATAATATATTCATTTAATTGTATATTTATTTAAATATAAAGATAATTATATCGTTAATTATTTAATTTTATATCTTTAAATGTAAAGATAATTATAAATAATTTATTTAAAAGTATAATATATATAATATATGGGTCAATATCACCATAGAGTGCCTTTCAACCCTCACAATACTCAAAAATTTTGGTTTTAATTTCCCATTCGCTTTGTCATATCATAAATAGTAGACACTCAAGTACTATAGAAACATATTAGCTGAGCTCCCACACATTTTTTTAGATAATTATGGGCCATTATTCGAAGCATAAAACCATAAGATATATCCACCCTGTCATGGACACATATATTACTGTTAAATAAGTTTTCATTACAAATAAATGCTATGTTCACCCTGTCATGTCTATGTCCACTCTATCGAGTCTAAGTGGCCGACATTTTAAGCTTCAATTAGCATATTAGCTTACAACAAACTGTGACTAGCTAAATAGTTAGTCTGGTTGTTGAAGAGAATTTGGTATATTTAAACTTACATATTTTGAAAATACTGTTTTTCGAATCACTTCTGGTATATTTTATGCCGACAGGGTGGACATGTTAAGCTTTGGCAAAGCAAGTAAGCAAACTCAGACGAAGAAAATTTGTCAATTGAAAAGTCATCAACTTACTCACCTCAGTTGTTGAAATTCCCGCCCTGAAGAGACAAAAAATCTGTTGTCCTGATGTCACTAAAGGGGATGGCCTTTTCTTAAAGGGGCGGATTCCCCAATACGACAGGGTGGACAACCATTCAAGGGACATGGACAAACTCTTCTTTTGTATTAAATAAAAATATTGTTTTTATTACCAAATGATCAATACACTCAAATTGAGTAACCTCTTATTTAATAAAATATTAATAGGAGAATTTTTTAATTTTATTTTATGATTTGACAATATTCTACTATCATTCAAATTTATCGAGCAGTGCATGAGACATAGCAAAATAACACACATCCTCTTACACAAAACTAAAAAAAAAAATCTAGAAAATGTATCTAAAGAGCCAAGTAATGCTTTTGTTATGAATATAAAAACTTAGCCTAATATAACACACCCTTTCATGGTAATTTTAATGTTATCATGGCAAATGAATTATTTATGTACAGGACACCAAAAGGCACCCTACAGTGATATTGACCCATATTAGATTAGAATGCTTTATTGTCATTGTAAACAAAATACAACGAAATTGCAGAGCTTCTGCGTAAGGTGCTTAGGTACATAATAAACAGAAAAGAGACTAAAAAGAAATATACATAATACAGAGAGATGTACAAATAAAATATATTTAAACTAAGACTAAGAGAATAAAGAGAATGGAATAGAAAAAAAATTGCTTGTATATAAAAATAAATAAAGTAATAATTATTGCACTGATATGAGGTACAGTGCATTTCACATTGCACTGAAGGAATGGGGATATAAAAACATTGCACTAAAAAAAGTAAAGATATTGCACTGGAATATAATGCTGCACTGCACTGAAGGAATAAAGATATAGAAAACATTGCACTAAGAAAAAAATAGAGATTGCACTGGAATAATACACATATTTCACTGAGTAAGATGGGGGGAGGGAATGTGCATGTGTGTGTTCAGTGTGATTATAGCTCTGGGGAAGAAGCTGTCCTTAAGTCTGTTTGTCCGTGATTTGATGCATCTGTAGCGCCTGCCGGAGGGCAGCAGTTTGAACAGGTGGGAACCAGGGTGAGAGTGCTCTTTTTCAATGTTCTGTGCTCTGCTGAGGCAGCGGGAGTTGTAAAGGTCCTTTAGAGAGGGAAGAGGACAGCCGATGATCCTCTGCGTGGTGTTGATGATTGCTGTATTCCCTTTCTCTCTGCCACAGTACAGCTGCCATACCATACTAGGGGTGGGTGAAATATTCTAATATGCTGATTTGATGCTCAAGAAACACTTCTCATTATTATCAATGTTGTAAACAGTTGTGCTGCTTCATATTTTTGAGGAAACTGTTTTTTCGCGATTCTCTAATGAATATTTGAAATGGTCCTTTGTGTCAGAGCGCTGGAGTTCATCAGAAATAGAACGCCGCATCAGTTTACTACCATGAATTTGTCTATTTGCTTTTGTCAAATCGCGCCGCTCGCGTCTGGTGTAGACACGTTGTTTTGGTATTTGTGAATCTTAAGTATATTCATAATCTGCTTTACGTTTACCTGGCACTGGAAGTCCTTTCACAAACTTGTAACTTTCATGCTTAGAGCAGAACCATGCATCCTTCATTTATATTTCTGAATGGCTCCCTGCAGAATTCTGATTCTTCAATCGCGCCATCTAGTGGTCTGTTATTGATACAACCACAACTGCTACAACTGATAACGGAGCGCTCAAGCAGGTATTGCGAGTCATGTTGAGGTAATTTAAATATGTCAAATTAATATTTTGCGTTCAATTATTTACTTTTCAGACAAGTGGCCGGATGATAAGCGGGAAAATTACGCAGTGTAGTCTTTATCACCCTGCAGAGGTTTATTTTGCAAAATAATCTGCTGACTGTGTACACTATCCCTTAGCTTTGCCGCTCCCCCCAGTTTGAGAAGTGGAGTAGGCGATTTGCGCTCTATTAATTTGGTCTGTAACGAATCTCTATGTGTTTGATTACTAATGCCTGTGTAGTACTGCGGCGTTGCACACAGAAGACAAAAGCAGGGTCTGCCCTGTGCCTTCTAAAGTCAAGGATGATTTCCTTTGATTTGGTGGTGTTGAGTGTCAGGTTGTTGGCTGAACAACACTCCGACAATCTCAGGATTTCATCTCTATAGGCAGCCTCATCCCCCTTTGAAATTTGACCCACCACTGTAGTATCATCAGCGAATTTGATGATGGTGTTCTGGTGATGGGCTGGGCGGCAGTCATGCATGTAGAGAGAGTACAGAATTGGGATCAGCACGCACCCCTGAGGGCAGGGCCGTTTCTAGGCATAGGCGAGCTAGGCGGTCGCCTACGGCCCCACCAGCTGAAGGGGCGCCAATGAGCGCACGTACTGGCACTTTTAGCAGGGTTGTGATAAAGAGTGGCATGGTCACCCTGAAATATGACTGCCGCCCCCACTGGATCCCCCAACATTATTGGGCTAGAGTGCTGTCAATCTGACGTGTGATACATTATCATTTATAATAAATATAAAATATATTTAAAAATATAGTTATATATATCATTTTTAAATGTAAACCATTTTTATCATTTTTTTATTATTATTAAAATTATAATACATATTTTATTTATTTTAAACATTTATATACAGTATAATATTTTGCTTTTGTTTCAATGGGTGATACAACATTCCCCACTTTATTCTACGGAGATAAAGTGAGTAGTATTCACCATCATGTCAATCCACTGAGGCTAGGGCTGCTCGATTATGACAAAAATCATAATCTCGATTATTTTGGTCAATAATAAAAAAGCAAAGGAATACAATGCCAGTAATAAAAAAGCAAAAGGATACAATAGAATAAAGAATATACAAATGAAACAAACTGTGCTTTAAGTTTTTAAGTCTAAAGTATTCAGTTAACAGCCTACTAAAGAAATTGAATAGCCTAATGTAAAATAAAACAGCATAGTCTTCACAGTAAGAATTAAACTTCCTTTGTTTCTTATTAAAGCTACAAAATTCCTTCAGTCAAGAGCAGTGAGTGATTTTGATGTGTCTTTTGTTGTTTGATTAATATTAAAGATACGTTTTAAATATGATTATTTTTCTTACAAAAACGCATCGATTCGTTACAGGAGGCCGTGTGAGACACTTTTTATTATGGATGAATGAGCTTTATTTCACTTCTTTTGGACTGATGAACTGCAACACCCGCTGACTGCCATTAAACAGCTTGGAAGATCAAAGACAATTTTTAATATAAGTCTGACTGGATTCGTCTGAAAGAAGAAAGTCACAATTTACTGTTACACAAGTATTTTCATTCTCAACTCTTTACATTCATTTGTTACATAACCGACGAGGGTTTACGTGAATAATCACTAAGCACCGCATTTTTGTGTGTATTTGACCGTTTAGGCGCTAAAAGATGACTTTACATGTCCGTGTTGTGTTCCGTCTCTGAGCGCATACACAATAATATTCCAGAGGAAGCGCAAGTTCTTTAACACTTTTAAAAACATAAATCAATCTAATCAACTTAAATAAAGCAAGCACATCCCGTTTTGCAAAAGTCTCGTTACATGATTTTACTGATTTGCATGTGAAATTGGGCTTTTATGGAGGAACGAAAGAGCACTGCTAAAAAGTGGGTGGAATAGGGCGCAATAATCGTTTTATCTCGATTACTGTATTTTCATAATCGTTGGAGGCCGAAATCGAAACTGACGTTCAGTAAAGCTAATGAAACGATTCTGTATTGCAGATTACCTCTTGCCGCTGGAGCAGCAGAAGGGATGGTGCCACCTAGGGGGCGAGATTGCCACTTCCTAAAACTCCCCTCTAGAGCCCCTGTGGAATTGCGCTGGATCATCACACAAGAGCAGACCATAATGCCCATCTTACCACGGCAACACCCTAGCGACGCCATACCAACCACGTTTCCCACGGAGACAAAAGTGTGCCTTTCAGATGCAGAGCGTTCCATATGACAACAACGGCAATGCAAAATGCCATCATCGTGGCAAAGCAGACGCATAACTATCACTGCGGGGATGTTTCACACCAATGGGTTCTGCTGTCATTTCATCAATAGATACTTTGAACTCACATAAGTACATGTAAAATACCACATAGGACGAGACCTAAAGATCTTCCACGCCATCGCTTTAGGAGACACGCTCTTCTGTAAGTCTACTTTAGAGCACTCTTATCACGGCAGCGAAGTAACGAATGACCACTTTGTAATTTGAACAGCAGCTGCTATCGCAACTGTTCAAAAAAATCAATATATATGGGAGGGGGAAGTCATGCCTTAACAAAAATTTATTTGTGTAGCAAGGTCACCGTAATACGGGATCTTTCTAAAATGATATTGTGATGGCATTATTGCTTGATTTTCCCAGTATTGCTGACTAAAATGAGTTCATTTTCATCTTATTTCCCATTAAATGAGGAGTTAACAAGTGTGTGGGAGCAGTGAGAAGTGTGTGTGTGGAGGGACAGGACAGGAGTGTTTATGGACAGGTGTAGTTTGCATAAGCGACCTGTAGGGGGCCCCAGCATCAAACACATAAGCAGCTGAGCTCAGGACACAGTTGTTTTTGCGTTCAGTTTATTTGTTGGTCTCAGAGGAAACATCTGAGTTGGTTTAAGTGTTATTTATTGTTTAAGACTGCAGAGGCTTCCCTTGCTCAGTCATAGAGAGACAACAGCACCACACCGTACCTGCTGACAGGATCTGAAGTGGAAAAACAAGGGATAGATCGAGAATATCAGAATAGTTTGCACAGTGTTTCTTTTCTTATATGGTTTGAGGAAATAGAACTGAGGCAGCAGGCAATTGCTTTCAAATTAATTTACAAATTCCCCACTGAATGCTGAAATAACAAAATAAAATACAAAGTGGTCCATGTTTGCTATTTTCTGTTTCTGTTTCTTCTTTTTTAACGCATAAGTAGAGAACCAGCGATTAAAATATAGCTTAGCCAAAAAGATATACCATAAAGGACCTTAATGGGTCCCCCTTGTCACAGGAACAGGCACATTTGGACCATTTTCTTAAAGGAATAGCTCACCTAAAAATGAAAATGTACTCACTCTGTTCGTTTCGTCTTCGCTTTTCACTTCACAAGATGTAAATTGATGGACTGGAGTTGTGTGGATTATTATGAGGTTTTTATCAGCTGTTTGGACTCATTCTGACGGCACCCATTCACTGCAGAGGATCCACTGGTGAGCAAGTGATGCAATGCTTAATTTCTCCCAAGCTCATTTACATTTTGGATGGCCTGAGGGTGAGTAAATATTCAGCAAATGTTCATTTTGGGGTGAACTGTTCCTTTAAAAGACATGCATGTTGAATGCAAGTCAAAAGCTTTGCATTCCAGCACAATACAGTGATAAATCAGCTTATCCTCATCCAGATGCTTAAGCCACCTTGGCTACGATACTCTGATCAATAAGTGAGTTTGTTGTGTGTGTGTGTGTGTTCTACATCAGATTGCTCTCTGGTTAGAGTACAGGCTCCTATTATTGCAGCACAGTAGCATCTGTGGTCTAAGCATATTTACAAAAACTTCATTAGTGTCTTCAGTCCTGATTATTTCTTTATTTGATTAGTTCAGCCAGTTTATCAATGTGAATGAAGAAAAAAAACAGTAAGACCTGTGTGTGTTACACTTGTGTAATTTGTCTTTTCGTCAGGAGTGCAGGTGCGACACTTTTTGTATTGTTCGGAAATGTCAAAAGTGTTCCACCTCGTAATGTTCACCAGCGCTATAAAATATTAATTGTTTGGTCAGTGTTTCTTATTTTGTGTCAATGTGCCAGGGGGGGAAAAAAAGAATATGAATGTACCAGAATGTATTTATAACATGGATGATTATTAGCGTTTCTTTGACATTAATTTGAACTGCAACCATTTAAGATCATCATAACGCTTCAGTTTAAAACGTAAGACACTAACCACCTTTTAACCTCCCACTGAGTGTTTTCTTAACGTTAGGCCCACCTTGAAAGTATTATTAATGCTTTAAGTGTTTTCCCCAAAATTGGTGTGTCGGGATGATTACTGACAAGTTTAACGGCTATATGTCTGTTCTGCGCTTCATCTGTACATTTTACTGCTTGTGTAGTACTGACAGAGTCTTTGTAGCTTTTCTGACTGAAAACATTAATTTATTTTTCTGCTGAATCAAGGGGATTGAAACAAGGCCTTTGCTGTGGTGGGTTTAGAAAGAGGCTTTGTATGGAAAAAGAAATAATGCATACGTGAAGGAGATAAACAGGCGTGCATTATTTCATGTAGCCTAGATAATGGCATAAATTAACTAATATCAGGATACAAGAGTTTTATATCTGAAATGTGTGAAGGTTAAACTAACCAGAGTTAAAAAAAAAACATGAAAAAAAACTTTAAGAAACCTCATGTAGGTTGAAACATTGTAACATACTATTTTAAATAAAATGACCTGTTGAAAAGAAAAGAGAAAAAAAAACAAGTTCATGTGTTATTCATTGTTTTTTTTTCTTTCGTTTTTTTTTTAACGTTGTAGGTTTTGTAAACAATCTGACCGCGACCCTTTACTAATAGCGTTAGTCTGGGGCGGGACTACTCGTCGGCTCGACCAATAGAAAATAAGAAGCATATTGGGAATTCGGTTTAGAAACGGCATTAGTTTATAGTTTGGTGGTTCTGATAATGGCGCACAAATCGCTCACAGCTGTTACTTTTGATTGCTGTTTACCCATAGACTGTATAAAAACGTGTTTACCGTTATCATCTCAACAACACTTGGCAGACTTAAAAACAGGAAAAGGCCCTGCACTTAATCTTAAGGTATGTCATATCTGTTAATGCAACATTTCATACTATACTCTGAAATATGTTTGTTAAAGTCAAATGACCTGAAAAGGTAGTTATGTATGCTTCAAGACAACATAGCACCTTTAAGAATTATTTCAAATAAACAATGAAACAATAAAAGAAAACAGAATTTCATGAAGAAGTCATCCTGTATTCATAATAAGAATAAATCTCATTGCTGTGATCCTGCTGTATAATTGCCTCTGGAATTAAATAACAACTTATATCCTTGTCTCTCATGCGCAACCACTTGGGAAATAATTTGCCTCAAGCCAGCTAAATATTTGAATGAAATTTCATTTATTTATTATCACAAGGACTCCAGGGATTTAACTAGAGAATTAGCCACACTTAAAGCACGCGCCTGCCTGAACGTCAATATGAACAGAGGGTTCAGCAGGCAGATATGTTTCAGTAGACCAATTAGTATATCACACACAAAAAACAGCTTTCAGCAGATAAAAGACAAGGCTGAAACTAGTGCATGATATGACATATTTGTGCTGTTAACTGGATATTAAAGCCTCATCTAGAATAAGTTAAGTGTAATTGACCAATTCAATATTATTGTACTGTTATCCAGAGGCATAAATGAGTACCAAATAAATTATTAAATGAACACATAAACGTGTTAAGTTTAAATTATGTGAGAAGAAAAAGTATGCAAAATGATACACCATAGGTATGTGGGGGCATGTTAGAACGAGCCATTTTAGGTAGGCATGGCTGACTCTTAACTTTTATAAAAAATATCTCTTTGGATTTGAGACTTTAGTGTTTGCAACTTTACAGATCTTCTTTATGCACCAAGAGCTTGTAACACTCCAAAGAGAAAGGAAAAATTTAAATAGCATCATATGACCCCTTTAAACAAACACATTGATGCAGGAAATTGGTTGCCTGAGACAACCATGAAATATATTAGAAAGACATGAGGGTGAGAATAATTTAGTTCCTTTATGAAAATATTTTCCTGGTGAAGAGAAACTATCTATGCAGAAACTAAGTACGCAGAATGGGGTTATTGAAATTAAATTATTAAAACTCAAATAAAAAAAAATAATTACTAGAAATAAATAACATAAACTAAAACAATATATTGAAAATATTATTTTATTTCAGCTAGTAGCCAAGGAACTTGATATACATATAGAATGTCAATGATAATTTTTTTTTTTTATCTGTTTTTATGTTTCTGCCATAGAATAAAAACAATTGAAACTTTTTAATCTCACAATTCAAACTTTTCTGCTTCATACATTTTTATATATGTTATTAATGGTCAAGCTCTTCATCCAATTTAGTATGTACTTTGAGTCTTCATAAACAAATGATTCATTAGCTGGATTTTTTTATTGAATAAAACACAGTATGTGCAGTGTAGCCTGACTCAGTTTTGAATCAGTTCTTTGAATGAATCAATCTGACTCATACCAAAGTCCCATTAAGGTATTCTGTAGTATTTGCTCATACTGAATTTAGTCCAATAGAGCAGTTTCTGAATCAACATCTGATTCACTTATTTCTGACAGATTGTCCATATGACAATGATTGAAATATAGCTGATCTTCAGCATTACGTGACATTTTACACTATAACCCATGGTGCGCACATAAACATAGGTACTTAAGAGACTGTATGCTCCGCCCTCTATTTACATACATAATTACATTGTCATAAAAGCACTGTAAAGTTAAGAGGGATCGAGAATGTAATAAATTGCCGTTGCAGGATCGAAGGATGAAGCTGTCCATGGGGTTAGAGGGAATCAATACAGCTCTAAACTGCAACGATCTGCAGAGGTCAAACTGGATGAAGTGTTGGTCCGCTTTACCTCAGATCGCAGCTGTCTGAAGAGTGCGCGTGTGTCTTTGCCTGTAAGTGCTTGATGCTTGAACGATTAGAGTCTGAAGGAAGGATACTGTGTTTGAGAGAGCGCAGTGGTCTCATAGGGCCACTTGTGGTCACTCCGCTGGACTGAAGGTATTTTAGAGAGCCAAATCAATGCTAACAAATGCTCCCAAGAGACTGCCATGAAAAAAAAAACAGTCATTAATCCAGGAAGCATTCTCACTGCATCCTTATTTTATTGCTTTTACATGCTACAGTGGTGTTTGCTTTTGCTTATCCACAGGGTTTTTAATAATAATATTGAAAACATTAAAAACATTATTGGTAATAATGATAACAAGTAAACAGTTTACATTTTAAAAGTATTATTATTATTATTATTATTATGATATTAACATGTAAAAGTTTAACATTTTAAAATAAGATTATTATAATTAATATAATTATATAATAATTATAATATTAATTATATAATATAATAATAATAATACTGTAACAGATGTTTACATATTAAAGTTACGTTATTACTTGTTATAATTATTATTATTATTGTAACATGTAAAGGTTCACATTGTAAAGTATTATTATAATTCATAATTCTTATTAATTATAACATTTTTTATTACTATTATTATTATTACATGTAAAGGTTCACATTGTAAAGTATTAATAATTATTGTATTTATTATAATGTAAAATTTTTATATTTTCAATTATTATGATTACTATTATTAATAAATAAATATTATGATAATAACATGTCAAATGTTTTCATTGTTATTTTTACTACTATTAAATGTTAAAAAATACAGACAAATAAAAGTTAAACATATTAAACCAAAAGCTTAAATTAAACTTTAACTAATTTGATATGATATAATCATAGGATCATCATGGGATTGTATTTTATAAATATTTATTCTATACTTTATCCTTTTTTTTTTTTTTTAGATAAGATACAAAAAGAGATACAGTGATAGTCGTCTTAAGAAAAAAATATTTTCCAAATAATATTTTCACATAATTATCATGTGTAAACCATATAAATCATAATTGGGGGTTTAAGCATTAAAAAGTTTGAAAACCCCTGACCTACAGGACACTTGTAAAATTCTCTCACTCATCTTTATGCATTCCTTCCACATTCATTTACAGACCTGCATCTTTATATCTTGTTTTATTTTTCCCTAAACAGCCCCATCCTTTTCTCTCAAATCACTCTCTCCCTCTCCCTTGTCATTATTATCGACCGTGCCCATCTTACCCCGTTAATTAAAAGCCATTGATCGTCAGCTGCAATATTGTGGACGGCGTCACAGGAGGAGCCATTCAGAGATCAGCCGATATGTGTTTGTGTGTCAGTGTCTTTAAGAGGGACAATGAATGACAATGATTG